TTTCCAAAAGTCGAAGGTGTAGTATTATCGTCGAATATCGTCATCATGACGAATACTTAGTATCGCGATTAAGATCGACGTTATATTAGTTTTACAAACGCAAACGCACAACGGTTGAACGACAGACGGGTGAGAAAGTCGATCGACGATACGACAGCGACCGCCGATGAGAATTTATGCGCGGACTGCGGAGAGCGGGTGTGAAAATCGGAGAAATACTCGCGTACGTGAACTCGTCGAACTACTATAATTATACCGACTGGTAAACGACAGTCGACAGTCGACAGAGGCTGGGGCTGGGCACCGAACGAAGTTTGCGACTCCTCCACGGATTATTTGTCGCCGCGGTCGCGCCAACCTAGTAATTAACCGCGTCTGCGTTAGGCTGTTGGATAGCGCGACCCTATGTGTATACCTACCTACTCGTAGACTTATTTTAGCTACGGCCGGGCCGTATAGGTACACGTCGTAAGCGGTTATTCCGACTGCACAGCCCAGGTATAGGCTGCCATACTCGTATCGAAACTTCTCACGGCCATCGCAGCGGCCGAGGGTTTCTCTCCGTTCTCTTCTTTTCTTTTATTCGACGGAGAACGACGTGAAAGCCCCTAATAAGCGCTCTTTGAAACCGGCTATCGTACGATCGTACCGTTTCGTCGAGAGGGTTGCGCGTCCAAAAAGTTAATTAACCGAATCGACGAGGGTGTGTTTAAACGCCATCAATTAGGATAATTATACAAACTGAAATTATCCGTTACTTTTTCGACCGTTCCCATTTTATCTGATCCGTGAATTGGTATAGGCTTTGGTATAGTTACTCGTAATCGTAGGCATTGAGACCAGCGAGTCAAATACGATTACTCACGTATATGTATTACGGATTACCCTATGAGAAGGCGAACGCCGCGTTTCGACGACGACGACATTTTTGTTCGGCTTTTCAGCGCCAGCGCCAGCGCCCGCCGCGGACACCATTCGTCGAGTACTCGAGCAGTCGAGGCGAGGGAAGCGGGCACGACCGGGCCGGCTTCGTCCGAATGAGAAAAAAGCGTAGCAAATTCGAACGAATTATAATCGGCGCTCGGCTCGTATACTTTCCGACGTTTCACGAGAAGAGCCATTTACGCTCGCTCGGCGCTGGCACGCAGCACGTCCGCCTTTTATAAAAACAGGAATGGATCGACACGTCCGAAGAATATGTCTCAAAAACGGAACAAACCGTAAAACGTATGTACTAGGCCCGATCTAAATTCGTACAGTTTAGAACTCATAGCCATCGTTTTCGACTCACGCTCGAGTGTCGGTTCGCACGACCTTAGCGGCCACTACCACACCGACATCGAGTAATGTCTTTCGAGTAAGTCGAAATATAGCGGAAAATTTTTCAATTGTCTACTAGCCTCGATCGATTATATTTTTACGACGATAGCTACTATAGCGCCGTAATTCGCCGACTCGAATTGTCGGCAGCGAGGATGAAGGGAAACCGACGATTAAACGCGCAAAATGGACGAATTTGCGATCACCTTTGTTACACGATCCGTCGTGAAGCTTTTTTCGAATCAGTTGTCGAGGCCATGCGAT